TTTTGAAGGAAGTTCGTATAATTTCTTATAAAAATTTTGTTCTTTCATTTTCAATATTCAATTTTTAATATAAACTTTAAAAATTTGCATTTTATATATTTTAAACAGAATTGCGTAACAGATTAGCATTTATATTAAATGTATATTAATTGTCGTTAACTTTATCATAGCTGTATCATACAGAACTCAGAGTTTCATTTAATGTTTTGTAAAAATGTAAAATAGGTAATATGAATAACCAGATCTCTACTCATCATTTATGTGAAAATAACTCAGAAATTTATAAAAACATGCTTACGATTTCAGGAGGAGTTTTTTTAAGAAGTAATAGTTTTCTTTTCTTTAGTTTTCAAGTAATTCATCTTGCAAAGCATACTCGATTGCATCATAAAATTTGTTAGCTTCCTTTTCTTCATCACCAGTCCACAGTTTTAACTCAATCCTATGGTAAAAAATAAGTGCTGGCTCAAGTGACTCGAAAGATAGACTTTTTAGATCGTAAGACATATTGATTAACTTGTAAAACGGAATACAGATGGTCTGTGTTTTTCCAACACATAACATTAATGGCATTAAAAGCAATGCCCACAAATTAGAATTTGCTCTTGAATAGGCATTAGATAACATAATAGATATTCTGGGTATTGTGGAAACAAACATTTCAAGATTGGAAGGGGAATGTTTATTGAAAGCTCAATCTAACTACAAAGGTTTTTGGATGAGCTTAGATCATAACAAGAAAAAAGGCTCTGGAATTATACTATTAGTAAATGAACAATGGGAAAAATATATAGGTAAAGTAGACAGGATAAGTGAGTATATAATCTCTATAAGTTTAATACTTAAACAGCTATAGATTATTATAATTATACTTTACATACCACCAAATAATGAACAAGAAAAGAAGAAGATTCATAAAACAATTATAGAAAAATTCATTAATAGATCTTTCAGGTCGCAATTAATAATTATGGGAGATTTCAACAGTATAGTAGATCCAGAGCTAGACAGAACACAAATACAGAAAAGAAAAAATTAAAATGAGATACTCTTTTAAATTGGCTGCAGAGACAAGAATTTCAAGATACTTTCAGAACAATGTATCCAAGAGCCAAAAAGTTCACATGGTCAAATGGAGAGACAAGTACTAGAATTGACCAAATTTGGGTGTCAAATGAACTCTCCTATGGACTATTTGACACAAAAATCCAAGAAATAGATATTTACACAAATAGTGACCATGTAGTAGTGATAACTAGAATTAACTTAAATCATTTAAGGGCAACCCAAAGTGCAGCAGAATGTAGAAGAAAAGGTTATACAAGAACAGTTTTTCTCTATGAAAAAGCAACAAAAGAAAACTGGGAAGACTATAGAAGGCAAATGGACAGTTTGCTTAACAAAAATATAAATATACAAGGCCTTTTGAGAGAAGACTATTATTACGGAGGAGATGTAGCAGAATTAGATAAGCTTTGGGATGCTATAAGTAGTAGTATTCTTGCTGCAGCAAGGTGTAATCTACCAAAGAAAAAGATCTGCAATACAGCACAAAACAGAAGAAGGAAAACAAAAGAGTTGAGGTTATTATATACTATAATGCAACTAGGAAGATGGATAAGTATAGGAAGAAAGAGCGTCAAACTAGGCCTTATATACAACTATATTGATAACTTAATTGTGGAACTGGAGTATACAAACTAGCAACACAAGACAAGCATTAATACATCAATCAACTGTTGGTCCTATAAACTAGTTGATGACTTAAAAGGCTAGTGGAAAATATTATATGCAAGAAAAGCAGAGGAGATCAAACTGCAGCGAAGAAAAGAAATTGAAGAAAATATTGAAAGAAACATCAGATGATAGATTGAAAGCAAGGGAAAATGCTTGCGAGCTTATTGGAGAAGCCATTCAAGAAGATTCAAATTAACAGACTCTTAGAAGAAAATAAAAACCAAAGAAAACTCGTTACAGAACTAAAAGAAGTTTTAAACAAAACACAAGAACACTTTCAAAAACAGTTCAAACCTCGTTACTTTGATTAGAATATTTGGGAAAAGAACTGGAAGGGTATTTATAAGCCAAAGGAAGAAATACAAGAAGAGTGGTATAATGGCTTGGATCAGAGCATTTTAGAAGAAGAATGGCATGATATATTAAAGAGTTTGAAGAAAAACACAGCCCCAGAGGTTTCAGGAATTACTTATACGTTGATCAAAGCAGCAAGTGCTTATGCGCAAAAGATTTTCTGTCTATTTGCACAAAACTGTATCCAATCAGGCAAAGTTTTACTAAAATGAAAAATCTCACAGATATACTTGATTCCTAAGAACACAGACTGGTGTTATGATTTAAATAATGTCAGACCAATCGCATTGCTGGAGACATTTAGAAAGTGTATTACTAAGGTAGTAACTAAGAAGCTGGCACAAGTTTTAGCAGAAAGAAATATTTTAAAAGGTCCAAATTTTGCAGGTTTGCCTGGAAACTCGACAGAGGAACCAGTGCAAATCATAAATGCAATAATGGAAGATGCAAAAGACAATAGAAAAGAACTGTGGCTAGTTCTACAAGATATGAAGAAAGCTTTCGATTCAGTATCTCTTGAATCATTAGAATTAGCAATGAGAAGACTCAAGATACCTCACATTACAATTAGATTTATCATTAATCTATTTGAAAATAGACAATCAAAGATTATTACAAAGCTAGGTACAATACAATGCTTTGAAATAAAGGATGGTATTGAGCAAGGGGAGGTGTTTTCACCACTAGTGTAGAGAATCTTTTACGATCTACTCTTGTCAAGGATTAATGAAGACCCAAGTCTAGGGTATACAGTATCCCAGCAGATCCCATATAACTATAGCTTGAACTATACAACTAAAGAAGATGGAAGCAAGCAGTAGTTGCATATGCCGATAATACAATATAGATTGCAGAAAGCAAAAAACAGATGAAAAAGATAATACAGATTGCAGAGGAATTCTTTAAATTGAATGACATTCAAATAAATAGGAAAAAGTCTAAATTGATTGTAGTCAATTCAAGAGAAAAAAGAGAAGACAGAAAGCTTTTTTTCGGCAATAAGTGAATAGTGAAAGAAGAAAGAAACAAAATTACGAGGTTTTTAGGAGTATGGCTTAATAACAATCTAGATGAAGCTCTAGTCAAAGCAAAAGCAAAAGAAATTGTATGATCAACAGCATGAATGTTAAACCCAAAGAAACTTACAATAGCACAAGTGGCATATATTAACAATATATGCATAGTCCCTAAACTGTGCTATATGTTGCAAGTATCGAGATTCACCAAGAAGACAATAAATAACCTCCAAGCACCAATACTAATGCTAGTGAAGCAAAAAATAGAGTTAGCAAGAACTACAAATAATAGTACAATCTTACACAGAAGTAATGGAGGCTGCAATGCATTATGGAATCAGCTGTTGATCAAGCAAGTCTCCGGTCTACACTGGCGACTAAACTCAGCAGGACCAGAAGAAATTTTAACATCACTAAGAATAAGTTAAAGAATGCAACTTCTGGAAGCAACTGAAAATATGTAGTTTGAAGAACTGCCAAACACTTGTGGCCGATTTTGGAAAAATAATTTGGCTTGTCTAACGCTCTTGAAAGCCAAAGAGTTAAACATTATATTTAAGTTTAAAAGTACAGAACTCATAGGGGAAAACAAAAATTTCAGAACAGCAAATGTTCTTGGGAAGAAATTCACACCACAAGTGGTAACAATGTTGCGAAAGTTTAACATTATATCACTTAAACAACTGATAACACATACAGGAGATCAGATAATAACCTGGCAGCAACTCAAAACACTCAGGCATCTTTCATGTAGAGGTAAAAGTGCAAAATGGTTTCGCCTAATAGAGGAAGCAGTGATCGAAAATAATGGAGATAGAACTGTAAAGCCAGAGTACAGAATAGAAGGTTCTAGTTCTTGGTTACTTCAAACCCCTGTAGATCCTTTAAAAGCAGATAAAAAGAAAAAAGAATAGATTTTGGTAAAAGCATCCGTACCAGAAGAAAATAAATCCACATCCATCAGAAGAATTATAGGAAAACCAAAGAAGAGGTGGCTTACAGAACATTGAAAACCAAATACAAACCCAAGTACAAAAAGCACAACTCTAGAAAGATGCGAAGGTTGTGAATTTGATCAAGAAAAAGAGGAGAATTCTTGTAAAAGCCATTTAAGTGAAGAGAAGATACAGAGCTCTATAACAAGACTTGTTGACAAACAAAAAGGGAAAGCTCTAAAAATTGATCTAGAAATGATATAGTCAACACAATTTTTCTCCAAATTGATGATACTGAGAGGCGAAAGTGTAGTTCAAGAAATCAGAGTACACGATTTGGACGCAGAAATCATCAGGAAACAGCAAATTAGACAAGAAATGCAGGACTTTTTGTTAGAGAAGAATAGAAAATTACAAGAATACTCCCTGATACAGTTCAAATTTTATACTGATGAATCATTAAGAAATAGTAAAAGATGATCTCAGTCAGAATCAGACAGAATGGGAGCAAGATGGGTACTTGTAAACGAAGAAAAGAGAGAAGTAATCAATGAAGATTATTTTGAAGCAAGAAATTAGCCATCTTCAACAAAAGCAGAGTTACTTGAAATTTGGTGCGTACTGCTTATCACATCCAGCAAAAAGAAGATCAAGATTTGCACAGACAGTGCAGTAGCTATAACTAAAGTAGAAAGAAGAAAACAAAAAAGGTCAGCAAGGCAATGGTATAAGGAGGAAAATTACGATCTGATAAAATACATTTTAGATATAGTAGAAATAAAAGAATTACAATTAGAATTAGAAAAGGTTAAAGATCATAGTAACAATAGTTGAAACAATAGAGCAGATAAATTAGCTAGATTAGGATCTAAAATAGAAGATAGAGATAGAATTATAAAAAACTCCTCAAAAATCGAACATCACTTTATACTGGGAAGAGACAGTAATCGAAGACCCTACAAAAGAATTCCTACGAATGATTCTTGACCTCAAAACAGGAGTAGAATAGAAATCTTCTTTGGCCGTAAAGAAATTAGAACCTGAAGACAGCATACAAAACCAATATTTGCCTATTTTATAGAAAAGGTTCAACAAGCAGAGTGGTGTACGATGTACAAGTTCAAGGAGGAACAAGTGTCTAGGTGTGTTGGTCAAATACTTACATGAGAAACTACTAGTACTTAAAACATTATTAGCCAGAAAACCAGAGTTATATGACAGTTCTACATATATAATATGTGAAAAAAGTAAAGAAGAAGACCAGAAACACTTAACAATATGTGAGAAGTATGAAATTAAATAGAAGGATGCAGAGCAACTAGCCTCGAACTTGGCTTAGACAGCCCTATCAGAAAAAACTCACAGTCAACTTGACAGAATACAGCTTAGGAAGACTTTGTGAATTCATTAGAAGAAGAAAAGAATAAAACTAGGGCCAGCATACTTAAAGGTTTGATTAAAGAAG